TATATTCTTTATCCTCTGCAAAGTATGGCTAATTTTACTGCGGCTTACTGAGGAGTTATGACAGTTTCCATGTATAGTGTACAACATGCTAACGCCTGTATCGTGCTGCCGCCCATTGTAATGAAGCAAAAACACATGGCCGACATTGTTCATTTTTTTTTGTTTCATTACCTTTGTATCACAAGCGCTTTTTTTTTTTTTTTGTACAGGATAATTTCTTATAGCGTGCTAGTTTCTTGTTTCCTAGTCTTTTGCATGACCAAAGTGGTCTCAGAACAAGTTGAACTCTTATTTCAAGGCAGGACTCGGCTATGAGACATTGAGATGTGGCTTTTCCCCTAACATGTCGGCTCTCGTTGCGTGTCAGACCCAGCGCTCATCCATGAGAAATGCATGCAGGGCGAGGAAGGTTTCCAAGGCACTTTGGATCTTTTCCCCAATGGCTACTCCGTTAAAAATGTGGAGCCGCAACTGTCAGGTAAGAAGACGCCGGAGCGAGCGTCGTCACGGGTAATGCGATGCGCTTCCTTTCACACCAGGCAAAATGTTGGTCCTGGACTTGATCTTGGCCATGACGAGGTCCAGCACCAGCGACAAGGTGGTGCTGGTCTCCAACTACACGCAAACGTTGGATATCTTTGAGAAGCTGTGCCACTGCAGAAGGTACCCTTACGTCCGCCTGGACGGCACCATGTCCATCAAGAAGAGGGCCAAGATTGTGGAGAGATTCAACAGTCCGGAGGTATGTCATCAAATTGCATGCATCTAGCATATGTACACCATCATTAACCCGATGCTCCATAACTGTATTCACGAGTTGGATTTTCAATTCAACCGTGTTTTTGCTTCAGAACCCCGAGTTCATCTTCATGCTGAGCAGCAAGGCGGGCGGCTGCGGCCTGAACCTGATCGGCGCCAACCGCCTGGTGATGTTCGACCCCGACTGGAACCCGGCCAACGACGAGCAGGCCATGGCTCGGGTGTGGCGGGATGGCCAGAAGAAGACGTGCTACAT